ATGACCATGTCAAGATTTTGATAACTTTCCAGAGCCAGAAATAGGATTTTATTTTTATTTTTGTTTCTGCTTGAAATGGCCATTTGGAAATGATGTCAGGGTTGTGTTCACTAACTTTGACCCACTCTATCGATTGGTAAAGTCAAAATTGAGCAAAACTGAAAAATAAAAAAAATCGAGTTTTTCATAAGGGTAACCTTTGAATTCTTATTCCAAAATATTCAAACCTCAATTGTTCGGTAACCATTGAGCAAATTGCATTGAAATTTTCAGCATTTGTAACATTCATCAAGCTCTAAAAGACCTGTGATTTACAATATTCCCAGTTTTATAGTTTTTGAGAAAATTGAGTTGGAAGTTTTTGACAAAATTTAGATTAAAGGACAACTTTAAAGCTCAATTACTCAGAAAGTTTCTGAGCTATAAAACTCAATTTCACACGGATCTATGGACAATTTAATGCTCTTTCCAATGGCTTATTATTTATTTCAATTTGCTCAAAATTTAACAAAGATATGGGCCATTGCTCATTACATGTCAAGATATTGAAAATTTTCCAGAGCCAAAAATAAGATTTATTTTTATTTTTGTTTCTGTTTAAAATGGCCATTAGAAAATGATGTCAGGATTGTTTTCCACTAATTTTGACCCGCTCTATCGATTGATGAAGTCAAAATTAAGCAAAACTGAAAGTTAAAAAAATCGAATTTTTCATAAGGGTAGCCCCTTTGAATTCTGATTTCAAAATATTCAAACCTCAATTGCTCGGTAACCGTTAAACAAATTGCATTGAAATTTCAAGCACTTATAGCTCTAAATAGTCTCTAAAAATCCTGTAATTGAATTGAAGTTTATGACAAAATTTGGACTAAAAATAAACTTTGAGGCTCAATTACCCAAAAACTATTCAAGCTATTGAAGTCAATTTTGCACGGATCTATAGAGAATATATTTCTCTTTGCAATGGAGTATAATTTATTTCAATTTGCTCAAAATTTAATGAAGATATGCGCAATTGTTCATGACCATGTCAAGATTTTGATAATTTTCCAGAGCCAAAAATAGGATTTTCTTCTTATTTTTGTTTCTGCTTAAAATGTCCATTCGGAAATGATGTCAGGGTTGTTTCCCAGTAATTTTGACCGACTCTATCGATTGGTGAAGTCAAAATTGAGCAAAACTGAAAAATAAAAAAAATCGAGTTTTTCATAAGGGTATCTATCCTCTTTGAATTCTGATTTCAAAATATTCAAATCTCAATTGTTCAGTAATCGTTGAACAAATTGCATCGAAATTTTCAGCATTTGTAGCTCTTATCAAGCTCAAAAAGACCTGCAATTTACAATATTCGTAGGTTTATAGTTTTTGAAAAAATTGAGTTTGAAGTTTTTGACAAAATTTAGACTAAAAGTCAACTTTACAGCTCAATTACTGAGAAGCTTTCTGAGCTATCAAACTCCATTTTACACGGATTTATAGAGAATTTATTGCTCTTTGTGATGGTACATAATTTATTTTCATCTGCTTAAAATTTACCAAAGATATGGGATATGGGGAATTGCTTAAGACGTGCTAAGATTTTGAAAATTTTCCAAAGCCAAAAATAAGATTTCTTTTTTATTTTTGTTTCTGTTTAAAATGGTCATTTTAAAATGATATCAGGATTTGGTTTTTCCAGTAATTTTAACCCGCTCTATCGATTGGTAAAGTCAAAATTCAGCAAAATGAAAAAATAAAAAATCGAGTTTTTCATAAGGGTACCCCCTTTGAATTCTGATTTTAAAATATTCAAACCTCAATTGCTCGGTGACCGTTGAACAAATTGTATTGAAATTTTTAGCATTTGTAGCTCTCAATAAGCTCTAAAAATCCCGTGATTTACAATATTCCCAGGTTTACAGTTTTTGAGCAAATTGAGTTTGAAGTTTTTGACAAAATTTGGACAAAAAATCTAATTTGAGGCTCAATTACTCAAAAACTATTTAAACTATTGAAGTCAATTTTACACAAATTTATAGAAAATTTATTGCTCTTTCCAATAGTGTATATTTTATTTCAACTTGCTTGAAATTTAATAAAGATATGGGCAATTGCTCATGACCATGTCAAGATTTTGATAATTTTTCAGAGCCAGAAATAGGATTTTCTTTTTATTTTTGTTTCAAATCGATTTTAATGGCTTTGGGGTTTGCATATTTACAAAAGGACCCCAAAAACGTCCAAATTGGATTCAAGAAAATCTACGTAGGAATATTTCCTTGGATAGTTCCTATGCATAACATAGCAGGACCTACGTATTTTGACAAGCTGTATCTGATATCACAGACATATTATGATCCTCTTTACATTTTAAATTTTTGTTGGCAATGATGATACCTTTGAAATATTGAAGTTTGGTTGAAATTTACGGGAACCTATTTTCAATGTTAAGCGTGCCTCCTTCTTTCAAGTTTACTTGATAATCAAAGTATAATTTTTAAAACTTCAAGTTAATCTATTAAATATATTCACTTCATACTTGTACTTCAAGTACTTTCGTAATGTACCTGTGCCGGCTCTGTATGGTACGTAAAATTGTATTATTTGGGGTAAATTGAAACAAAATAGACGTGTCTCAGTCATTACAGATACAGAATACAGAAAAAAATTCTACAACAAAATAGCTTTGTTCGAACACAAAAAGAAATAAACTGGTTAACTTGCCTTTCACCAGTAAACTTCTAAATTATATCTGCCACTTGGCAATGAAGGTGATAAATATCATTTTTAGCAATTTAGCCACCCAAAAAATAAGTTAGGGGCAAAACGTGCCTAGGATAAAACCTTTGTTCAAACCAACCGGCTGACCTCATTACTTTCCTGTGTCCTTTAAACTTTAACCTACCATTCAAGGGATTTTTAATTGCTGATGAGCCGAGCTTAAGCTACCTATTTATTAATTCAATTGAATTAGATGAGGAAGAGTCGAATTTGAGACTCATTTCCTAAACGACTGGAAACTTATGTTAGTTTTGAAAAACTGATCAGGTCAAAATAGAAACATCGTAGGTACCTACTTTTAAACTTATTGCAGTAAAAACTCTTCAATATTACCTACTTACACTGAATAATTAAGCTTCAAGTAAAACTTTTCACAATGCTTGAATCAAACAGTAGTTGCAATACTTTGAAGGCATTATGATACTCTTGCTCTTAATAAACGCTTGTCATTAGAGAAGCGACTCTCTGTTTGTTTGTATCAAACTTTGGTTAATGATAAATAAAATATGTATATAATTTGAAAATGGAGTAGCTAATCTTCTGTAACAAAGAGCGAACAGTGCCGAGCTTAAAACTTGAATTTTCTTTGAAATAATTTAACGCAAGCAGTAGAAAAAGTTGTAATCCTTTAGATAAGGTTTCACAAAGAGCTTAAATTCTCCTTAATACTCTCACTTACAAAGGCTTTCTGGATTATTTAAGAAAAGAGTCATAATTCTAAACATAATTAAAATAAATATGGCTAAAACTTAACACAAATCAATATCATTAGCGACGAAAAACATTAAAATCTTGCCAACATGTTTAGGTATATGTACAATATAAATAAAGATTTATGGTAATGAGACTGCTTCCGAACTAGTAAGTGCTAAAAACATTTTCGATGGTTCCTAATTGCCTAAAGTGAGAACATATAGCTGTCATGATGCCTCGATTAAAATGTTTGGTAATTAGGTATTTTGAATGTAAACTTTGAATTTTATGTCTATGTGAAAATTAATGTGAGATGTTGAAAATATAACTACGGAGTGAATGTTATACTAGGTAGGTACCATATATTTTTTTCAACAACTTGTTAAACCACATTAAAATTTTGATTTTTTTAATTTCTGATTTTGCCAATCGAAAAAGGAGGTCAAATTTATTGGAAAAACATTTTCGTGATTTTCTTTTTTGAGGTTAACCTGAAAAAAAATTAAAATGATTTTGATCATCCGACATTGACTGACAATATTGCTTATAACTCCAATAATATTCCATAAATTCTAATGCATATTTATGTATTCTGGATCAGAATTAAACGCTTTTTAGGATAAAATTAAATTAAATAAATTATCTCAAAAAGTTTTGGAGATATTGAGCCTCAAATTTTTAAACTTTGTCTCAAAATTTGGAAAATCTTCAAAGCCGATTATCTCAAAAACGAAGCCCTAGGGCTCGGTACCCCAAATAACTTGTTTTGAAGCCCTAATCGAGATCTGCGATTAGACAAAATTGTGACGGTAGATTCTCTGGTTTCCAAAATATGGCAGTTTGAAATGAAAAAATAAAATTTCCTTGCATACCACTTAAAAAAATGTTTTCAATGTTCAAAAAAATTTTGTAAATTATTGAAAATTAACTGTCTTGTGAGTGTCTTTGGAAAATAATAAATTATCATTTTCATAATGGTCCAAGAACTGTCGAAGATTTAGGGTACCTATTACAGCAAAGCTCATATTTTCTCCAGACAATCCGCAATATATACCGACTGATAATGAAATGAGGCCTCTGGCTGAACGTCGTTAATCAATGCGATACCAGCGCCTGCCTTTAAATGGGCATAAGCCCGTATATTTCAAAATTATACAAAAAAAAAAACTGGAAAAGTATTCATTATGAAGATTGTTAGAGCAAAAAAATAAATACGAATAAAATAAAAGAATCCTTAATTTTTTTCCATAATAAATAAGTATTTTACGGTCCATTTACCGCAAGAGATTGCAAAAGACCTTTCGATTTTGTCTCACTTATTTCCAAGATATCACCCCTTTGAATCAAGGTCTATTATGGATCTTATTTAAACCGACGATTTACAGCTTCTATTGTCTATTATTGGTATAGTGGTGGAGAAAATATAATAAACTTTGTTGAAGTAGGTACCTACTCCAGATAAAACAGTCCGTTCTCAGATAATAAAAATATGTATTAGGTATTGATCCTTAAGACAAGACTTTGATAAAAAAAAAAGTTCCACCTACCTGTTCCAAATCAAATAAATCTCCTGAGGTAGTCCAGACACTAACAACACCAAATCTGACAAAGCTAAACTAAACAAATAATAGTTTGTTGCCGTATGCAACGATTTGTTCCTGCTTATCACGATGCAAGTGGTCACGTTGCCCACCGTTCCAGTGATAAATATCACAACGTAGATTATCGTTATCGGTATCACTATGTAAAGTTCGTCCCGTTTCGGGCCGTAAATTTGTTCGCTGCATATGGATTCGTTGCTGAGGAGATCCATGTTTGCGATTTTGTTCTCTGACTATGGGTTGAATCGGCAATGAGTCATTATTTGATGGATTTCGCTTGTGTCCGTTGTGGTGGCTTTCTGCATCTGGAAATAAAGGAAATTTCTTTAAATCTGGCAAATTTAATGAATAAATTTCAGAAATTGTAGCATTCAATGCAACTGCTTATAGAGTCTGTCTTTTTCAATTTAATTTTATTAAACAATTCTGTTTTCTAGAATGAAAGTGTAATGCTGGAGAAAGTACTTAAATCTTTCGTTATTGTTATTCTACTCTTGGTAAATGCATTTCATTCGATTAAGAGACTGGGAATTCTTCTTAAAGCTGATCCGAAAGAATTACACAAGGTTGCTTTGTGTTTGATTTCCAAGAATTTATATAATCTTGCATTTAATTGCATAAATGGTTTCTAGGGAAAAACAGCTCTAAGATATTTGAAACTTATCTATTCTTTCATCTATTAATTCTGAATTTCAACTGGAAAACGTATTTCTTATATTTTTACACGCTTACTAGGATTAAAATCCCATTCACCAGTAATGATTACTGTTATCTGTTTTAGAGTAATATGAACGTAAGTAGGTTTTCCGCCCACTATTCAATTCGATATATGGACCGTATTCATAAAACTGAAGGATATCCTTGTAAGTATAAGGTAGAAGTATAAGGTTTTGACTTGAAGAAAAAGGTAGAAGTATAAGCATTTCCTTTTTTTCGTATTCATAATCATTACCTTATACTTGCAAGGATATCCTCCAAGAATAAGTAAAAGGTTCAAAGGTTGAAGTGATAACAAATGTGAGTTCATTTTTCAATGAAGGACAAAAAGTCAAATCTCACAATTCCAAAAAGAGAAATTTATTTTTCAATAATCACTCATTAGACTAACATGGTTTCGGGGCTTAAAATTCACACCCCATCTTCAGGTCAAAGGGCTACAAAGAACAATAAAAATAATTTCCTAAAAAAATCTTCCAAAGGGTACTTACAATTCAGGTTACAAAGTCATGTATAAAAAAAGTGTAAAAAAGTTGTAAAAAAAGGTGTAAAAAATGCAACAGCATACAAAAAACTCTATGCTGTCGATTACGGCAGTCACTGTACGAGATACTGTAGCTTGACTTACACCCAGTTCTTGACCAATGCCTTTCTGATACCCAGGGTCACTGAGATAACGTAAACATATCTGCATTTTTAGGACGGATGATAGCGCACCTCCTCGAGTTTCAACATTATTTCCCAAAAATCTGTTGACATGCCATTGCACATTTTCCTCTTCAAACCGGTATAGTTCTTTGTAATCACGAACAGGTATATTGTAATGTTTAATTTCTCCCAGTTCCACAACATCTGCCATCGCTACAACTGATCACTACACGACTGAGTCTGCTTCTGACCACACTCGAAATTATTGAAGGATATCCTTTTTATTTAGAGTAAAAGGTAACGTTTATGAATAACCAAATACTTTTTGTGAAGGATATGCTCATACTCTATAAGTATAAGGTTTTACTCGGAATATTATGAATGCTAGCTGAAGGATTTCCTTCATATTCTGCAAGTATAAGCATAACCTTTTTTTTATGAATACGGCCCAATATTGAGTGTAATGAATAAATTAAATCAATGAATTATAGTGATTTTCTCTCAAATTCTTAAAAAGAAAGTACCTAACATGAAATGATGGATATTTTAACCGTTTCACCGAATGAATTCCAGTATGTATAAAATAATTAAACTGAAATAAGTAAACACTGAGACAGTTAGTGCAAGCAGTTACAAAAAGAGACTTAACAGATTGTGTAATTATCCCGAAAGTGACTGTATACCTGATTCTGACTGTGATAGTGAATTTTTGAGTAAATTCTAGAAAATTCTATTTGGAAACCAAGGGAGATATCGAATTTGTGACTTCCCTGACGTACCTGCTTAATACATCAATCGTCATTCAAAAATAGAATTTCGAGGAATTTCGGGAAAATTCTAGAACATTCTATTTGGAACCCATGGGAGATATCGGATTTGTGACTTCACCCGCCTGTTTGGAACTTGAATCAACAACCAGGAAAGATATTTGGAGAGATTTTGAGGAAAATTCCAGAACATTCTGTATATGCCGTCACCAAGAAGGACAGCTTCCCTCTTCCAAGGATGGACGATAAATTAACAACTCTATCGGGCTCCAAATAGTTTTCCACCATGGAGAGTGGATTCTGGCACGTGGCAATACACAAAGATGACAAAGAGAAAACTGTCTTTAGTACCGGAAGCGGGTTATACCAGTTTAACGTAATGCCTTTCGGATTGTGTAATGCTCCAGCGACGTTTCAGCGACTGATGCATTTAGCTTTGCGAGGCCTTACATGAAGAACTTGCTGTTAAATTTAGAGGATGTCATGATCATGGGAAATTCGTTCCAAGAACATCTCGATAACCTGAAAGAAGTTTTTGACCGCTTCCGCGGAGTGCCAACTTAAAACTCAATCCAAAAGTATTTTCTATTTCAAAAGGAAGTGGAATTCTTAGGTCACGTGGTATCTGAATATGGCACACAAGTTATGGAAGGAAAGATAGATGCTGTCAGGGATTGGCTAAAACCACGCGACAAACATGAACTAAGGAGCTTTCTAGGATTATATTCTTATTATCGAAGATTTGTCGAAGGATTGGCTAACCTAGCTGCTCCACTTCATCGATTAACGGAAGAAAAATCAATATTCAATTGGACCCAGGAATGCGATACCGCTTTTAGAAAATTAGTAGGAGCATTATGTACAAGCCCAGTGTTGTCCTATCCCGAGCAGAAAAGCATATTGGTTTTGGACACAGATGCAAGCAACACCAGTGTTGGAGCTGTCCTTTCACAAATTCAAAAATTGCCTAAAATTCCAGAAAATACTGCCTTGTTCAAGAAAGGAGGCTATCGCGTTTATTCTGGATTTTACAAGTATGGATTACGGAAATATAAAGGCCGGTATTAGTTAGTAGTTTTAAGTTTAAGATGTGATATGATTTAGATAGTGATTATTGTTAAGAGTTGCAAAGAGTTAAGTTGTTAAAGTTAATTAGTGTGAGAGTGTATAGTAATATTGAATAAATTATTGTTGTGTTAATTGGACTTTGAATTTGAAATAAACTGACCCAAGATTTATGTCACGCAACCCAGAGCCGCGTACTAGAAGCTTATCCAAAGTTGTTTCCTGTTTATTCCAAATGACCTCAAGAATTATAATTTTAAAACACAAATAGTTAACTTCTAGTGAAGTAGGAAAAACCTATTTCTACTTTATAGTGGGCGCATGGATATATCGTCCAAACTAACCTAGACCTAATAAAAGATTGAAGTTCAAGGGGTTCAATAACATATCGGTTTGATGTAATTATGCGTTCAACTGAAAAACGACGATTGCAAAAACAAAACACAATTTTAATGTTTCAAATTGGTTGTTAACATGGTATTACTTTACAAGGGTTTTTGCTATACGAGACAAAAAAAAGCGATCAAGATTTTACGTGTATCAATTTTGAATTACGAATGTGGAATTCACGAATCATTATTTACGAAAAAAGGACAAAATGTCCCAACTCCTACACCTCACAAAAGAACATTCGTTTGTCTAGGATTTACTGCCCAATAAAGCTATTTATAGGTTTCAGATAAGTAATGATAGTTATGAATAAAGTATATTTATATCGTGATTGAGATACAAAAACATTTGTTGGCTTATTGACCAAAAAAGTCACAATCAATTGACCGTCATCGTATATATTGAGATTTGATATAGGGCAGTGATACTTACCAATACTCGTGTCTGACAAGATTTGTGATATAAGTAGATTGATATTTTTAATTATAGATTTTTTTTTTCCTCACTCATTGATACCTATCTATAGGTAGTCTGAAACGTAGCTACGAGCAATTTTTTGTCTCCTCAATTTAATTTTTTAGTTAACAGATAAAAAACCCTATTACATAATAATCTGTGTACTTAGGATAATTTGTGAATAGCCCAACTGAAGCCTTTCGTTCTCGATTACAAATTTTGTTTCAAAAAACTTTTCTAGAACTCTTATTATCAAATTCGCGAAAACCCTTTATCGCGTTTTTCAAATTTGCCTGGCACAATTGAGGCAGTTTTCAGTGAAAATGTTAATTCAACTTTTTGATGGGGAGAAAAATGTCGTCAATTTATCAGTTTTATGATTTATTTGACAAAAGTAATTTTCTTGAAGACGTTTCCGAAAAGGGTTTGACTAATCAATAATAATTTAGAAAACAAATTATAATAAAGTTGAAATTTTATGGTTAAAGCAACTTAAGGTCCAGACTCATGCATATTGCATTATGGAATACTGGGTTTGAAAGGCCGCGTTTGCCTTTCCAAGCAAGTTGCTTCCAGAAGGTTTTTTGCTTAAAAAGGACTTTTCCAAGAATTTTCTTTACAATGCTGGCTAGACGTTATTATTAGAAAATATTTGGGCCGATTGAATAAATCAACACAAAATTATATGCTTGAATATTTTACTAGTACAATTTAAATATGTGTACTTGTTTCAATTATAATAGTAGCTGAATTCTCTCGAAATCAAGTTGCGTCTATTTCCCAAATTTATTTTTGTGCCAACGCAATAAAGGGTTTTTCCTATAGTTTCTGACATTAATTTTGCGTTTAACATTTTCTCAAAATAATATAATTTAAATTGAAAGTTCATTAATTTATTCGATATCTTCATAGTAATTAAATTTTAATTGGAAAATTTTGTCATTCTATGAAAAGTGAAAAACCAACGGTTATTAAAGCTTCTGTTCATTAAACGATAATAATTTTTTGCTATCTTAGAAAAATTCTGCAATGATGAATGGTTGAAATTGAATCAATTTTCATTATATAATTACAGTAATAAATTATGCCAGAGTTTAAAATAATAATGGTAGGTATATACAGGGTGACACTTAAAACACGAATGGAAATTAAATTTTAGATTAATCTGGATTATTATCATTATATTTGGTAATTTTTTTGACAAATAAATTTTCACTTATTATGAGTCAGAGGGCATAAAAATCTCTTAGAATTTGTACTTT